AAAAGATCACTTACCAATCTAATTGATACAGTTACCATCTATAACGCATGAAGTTTCAGACACGAATATCGGCCAAATCATGTACCAAAAATAATTTTAGGCGCAAGATCGAAATAATATATGCCATGAGAAAGACTGGATGCACATGCCTAAATAAGATACTTAACACGCAATACCCTAGAATTTTCTTTTCACGCAATATTGAAAAGATCCATTAATTGATTGACCCACAAATCATTCCAAATCAATTTGAGATGAGCTCGACACTAACAAGATGATGAGAAAAATAAATTCTCTTCGTGCACAACTCAGCCCTCATTGCACCCACTTTTATAGAACACAGAATTAATATAAGTTCGTTCATCACTTTCTCTTAGCAAAAAATGAAATTTTCGTTCGCAATTCAGCCCCAATACTTATGATGAACTTACTCCGTTCTATGAACTTCCACACCAGTTCACTTACTAACATCAACTATACGCCAATGTCAAGCCCATTACTTGAGGTGTGAATCATCCCACAAAAAGTTTTAATTTTGAACAAGCTGAGAAGATATCAGGACGGCCAACCTTATTTCACCAGAGAACGTTCATTCTTATAATGTTTACCTGTAGCTATCACACCTCGATTATTGTTAGACATGTAACTCGTTTCACAGGTGATCAAGGAAGCACCTCATGTGATAGTTTCCCGATGCCTATTTTCACGAGAGCAGCTCTTACAAGTATATTAAAATGGTCATCATGACGAGCTCTTACAAACTGACCAGTTAGAATTCACAGACCACCAATCAACAAACTCAACAATAAACGATCAGAGAAGAATTCCAGGGATGAACCTACATACTAAGATGCCTAAAAAAAATCCTATATGCATATATATTTATAGAAATGCAACTGACACAATGCACAAAAATTATATAGCACACAATCCTAAAGATTTTCTCAGGGACAAAAATCGTTTCGAATTAAGAGCTTTGGTGAAAATATCAGCAAGCTGATCATCTGTAGGTACATGATCTAACACAATAATCCCATCTTCTACCAAATTACGAATAAAATGATAACGAATGTCAATATTCTTGGTACGAGAATGTTGGACAAGATTTTTCGAAATATTTATAGCACTAGTGTTGTCACAGAAAAGTTGAGCCGAATGAACGTTCATACTATACTCAGATAGAATCTGTTTCATCCATACCAACTGTGAGCAGCAGCTTCCAGCGACAATGTACTCGGCTTCAGCAGTAGAAAGGGAGATGCAGTTTTGTTTCTTGCAGAACCAAGATACCAAGTTTGATCTTATGTAAAAACACCCACCAGAGGTGTTTTTTCGATCATCAAGATTTCCAGCCCAGTCAGCGTCACAATAAACTGCAAGATGTAAGTACGTATAAGCAGAGTAGAATAGACCATACTCTGCTGTACCTCCAATGTACTTTATGATATGCTTGACTGCTTTCATATGTGATTCCTTGGGGGCAGCCTAATACCTGGCACACAATCCAACACTAAAGAAAATGTCAGGTCTACTAGCAGTGAGATATAAAAGACTACCAATCATACTTATGTATAGAGTTTGATCAACATATGTACCTTCATCATCTTTGGACATAATGCAAGTGTGCACGTCCTGGTCCGTTTTGGGGTAGATCGATTCTTGTCCTCGCCGGTAGAACACCGGAAACCTGCAAATAACTCTCACACCGGGGGTTGTGTCCGGTGAAGAGCCTCCGATGCTTAAGTCAGTATGTGTATGAGTGTATTGAAGTGAATAATGGAAAAATCGTGTTAAGGGAGAAAGGCTCAGCCCCTTTATATAGAGGTGAGATACCTGCCCTAATAACTGCCTGGATAAGGATGAGTTGGCTGCCCAAGCTGCCCGTCCGTACTCTGACACACCGCGCACATGTCAGAGGTGGCGCGGGGCGTTGGGAGCTGTCAGAGTTGGTTATCGCCATCACCCAATATATTCTCGACATGTGTCCTCCTGCACATGGGGTAAATATTCTCCTGGAATTCGGTTGGAGGCTCTTACACGCGCCTGTGACTAGGCCGATCTGTTGAGTGTTGAGTCCGCTAGATGTTCGACCTGCTGAGGTCGATAAGGTTGCTCGATCGTTTGTTTGGTCGAGCGATGGATTGGTCGACTGTTTGACTGGTCGACAAGTTGTTTTGCTCGATCTTCTCTTTGCCTGGCTCGATTCCTTCATGGTATGACCCCCCAAACCAGTTCAGTAGACCGGTTTATCTTGGGGTATATAATATCCTATATCATCTAGTCCCCCCACTCTGGTCG